AATTGCCTTTTTGTGAGCGTATAGTTTCAAGGAAACATATTAAAGTAAAATCTATTTCTTTTTGTTTTTATAAATGTTTCATATGAAATTTTTTTATTGATTAAAAAACCAAAACATAGTAAAGGGTAATTTATATTTTATTTCGATTGAGGGTTTCTGCTTACATTTTTATTTTGCGACAACTCGATTATAATAAAAATAAATTTGCTTGATAATACAGTATTGTAAGAGACAAAAAAATAAGTATATTATACCACTAACTTTGTCTTCAGGCGATGCCTCAAATAAGATTTAATGCGTCGACTCAAGGAAAGCCATGACAGTTGATTTGGTACAGTTAGTTTCAGATACGTTTATGAATTTTTCATTCTACAATATTTGGAGATTTAGTAAAAGCATTGAGGTCAATGATAGCTAAAAGATATATTTTAAACTTCATTTTAAGAAAATCTTAAATGTATTAAGTATTTTCTTTAAAGTATGTATAATGTCTTTCACTAATATATGCGTAAAAATAGTTTTGGCATTTTTGAATAATAAGGAATTATATTGTAATGGCACATATCCTTTTAAAAAGTTGAAAGGTTTATAATAGAAAGATATATGTATGTCATATTTATCTTTCATAAGTATCATATTTATATCATTTTTAATACATGCATCACTTAATATAATACTAAATGAGCATTGTGTAGAACAAGAATCAGAGCTACTTCCCTGTTTATTTAAACAAAATTAGAAAAGGTACATTACGCAACCCTAGCTTAAGGCACTTGGTTATAGCAAAGCTCATGTGCTAAGCCATAATAAACCTCGAAATGCTTCTAAGCGACGGAATTACAAGACTGTGTAAACAAACAATTGTAGCCCTTAAGTTCTTTTAATAGGATTTATTTTCCATATATATGTATACCGACAATGTTGTAATGTTCCCCATTTGGACATTGTTACCATTTTATTAACTTTCACTAGATACGTTGTTAGATTGAGGCAACTATGAAAACCTACTGAAAGTTGTGTTATATGATTTGCATGTGTTTGGTTTGGACTTTGAATTTGAATTGTAAACTTGTAGGACATTTGAATTCCGTGACATATTACTTATGTAATATGACCACCTTACTTTTATAACAAGATGAATTGTTACTGAGATATTTCATTTGAATCAATTCCTTAGTTAAGCCTAAACTTTATTTTTTGTTATTTCGTCTGAAAGACTTTTTGTGTAATATAATAACACAGTGATCGCAATTAAAATAAAAAGAACTAATTAATGTTATAACGCATTACTATCACTCTTTTGGATGACAAAAGAATTTATGATATTTAATTAATACTCTTAATTAGTCTATTTATTGCTTTCATTTATAAACTTTTAATTGAAAACGAGTAATGTCATACTTTAATAAAATATACATATTTTTATTTTTGCAAATATGGAAATATATATTGATTTTTGCAAATGGAAGCAGATAGTTTACGTTTTACATTCATGATTTTAAATTTCATTTCAATATTGTTACACATATGAAGTATGTATTTATAAAATATTGAGTCCAAAAATAATTGTTTCCATTGATGTATACATCGTTACAAGCTGAAACATTTATAATTGTGAAAATTTAATAATTTTCAGTGATTATTATTAGCGGGTTGGTCATGGCAAGTACCAATGTGTTTTTCCGAGTCATATTTATTTTCTGCGAGTATTTAGACACCACTGACAGACGGTGAAGGAAAAGATCGTGAGGAAACCTGGACTTATAATTTTACAATTATAAATTTGAAATCACAAACCCGTCTTGAGCAAGCGTGGTGATTAATGCTTAAACCTTCTCCATGTGAGAAAGAGGCCTTTGCTCAGCAGTGGGCTCTGATAGGCTGATGATGATTATTTACTTGTTCAGTAAATTTATGATTATGGCTTACGACATGAAAGGTATTAGTCATTGTTTTCGTTTTCCTCAATTCTTGATGGGGAGACTTTGCCCCGAATATAGCGGGCGTAACGATATGTGATCAAAGGTCAAAGGTTGACGAATGATTTATAAATTCGATACGTGTTTATAAACATTGATTCTTGTCCATTTATATTTAAAAAAAATATCGATGTCTATATTGTGTCATCGATATTTCTCTTATTTGATTTTTTATAGATTTTTTAATTGATGTGAGATGTAATGCTACAATGCGATAGAATTAGTTTAGTTTCGTGGTTTGAACAGAACCAAAAATATAAATTTTATTTCTCAAGTGTAATGTTAGTAAAATTTTATTTGTACTTAGATAACTAGATATTATTACTTCTTCTACGTGGCAATTTCCCAGCTATAGCCAGGGTCTGCCTTACATGTTGTGTGTAGTTTTGGCTATTTGTTTTTACGACCGGCCGCCTTGCCTTTGGGAAACAACATTAATCAGTGATGTCTAACTACTGTTAGAAAGTACATATGACTCGGAAAAATCACATTGGTACTTGCCCGGGCCAGGATCGAACCCGCGCCCTCGACAACGAGAGGCGGGTCCTTTAACCACTGGGCCACCACTGACTGGATGTTATTACTATTATATAGTAAATATTCTAGATTTTTTTAAATAAGTAATACTTGTTATAAATTTACAGAAACAATATCTTTTAATATAAAGTCTTGTTATTTTTCCCTGATCTTACAAACATTGTATATCGTTTATTATATTTCTCAATTTGTCAACTGTGCTGTCTCCTGAAAACAAATTTTTAAACAGGTCAGAAATATGATTTAGTTAATTACTATATGTTTTCGCAATGATTGATTTATTTGCTTGAGATAATTGTAAAGACCAGCAGTTTTCTGTCAATTTCAGTGGACCTACAGAATCAAAAATTCTTGTAAAATGTTGGGTATATTCATTTCATATTCCAACTCTATCTAGCAAATGATCATTGCTACTTTTGACTCTAGATATGAAAAGTAACACTTAGGATAGTAATTCTTGTACGAATCCTTATCTTTGTTTTTCAATCCCAAGGAGAAACCATTTATTACTTTTCGTTTTAGTGAGTACTATAATTACAATAAGTTATCAATAATTAAATATTTCTTCTGTAAATTAAAGCATAGTAATCGTCAAATAACACGCAATTCTTCCTCTTAATTAAGGGATTAAACTTTGATTAACTTTTTTGACCAACGCGCAATACTTAAGACATTGTAATTTTTAAATCAATACTGTATTAAATACTATTTAATTTAAATAAATATAAGTAAAATACTTTATTTATAATATTGATACATTATTATCGTTTTCTCTATAAAATTCTCTATTGATTTTGAGCAACTTTACCCTAGGTATACCTACTATCCATCTACTTTTATTATGGTGGAAATATCTTTCTTAATAGGCATCTTATCTCCAACGGATTATAACGAAGACTAAGATTAAAAATGCGCAAATTAACTATAAAGGAAGTTTTCTGTTTGAATATGAAAGATTACCCCGAGAAGTGATTTCACGGTTCTACAAAGCACAAAGTGCCTTCACTCTTCTATCTGGCAATTATAAAAAGTTCTCTTGCAGAATGACGTTTAAATATTTCAGATATACTGTAAGATATTAAAAGCCTTCTTTTTAATGATAACATCAGCATGTTTAAAAGAATTTAGGGCATTTTTATAGATATAGTATTTCGTGAGATTTAAAAGAAAATTTCCAAGACATAGTGATAAAGAAAGTTCTTTCTTTCACTACATATATGTCTCTCAAAATACATAATTATAAAACGGTGAAATTTAGGAATGACGGTCTATATTTTGTATTCATACATTTTCAATCAACTAATTCCGGTTTTTGTAATATCTATATCTCATTATTAAATGATAATCTTTGGTATTGAAAATGAATTACGAAATTTAGTATATTTAAGAATCACATAAAACACAGGATTATAAAAAAAGTAGCTGTGTATGTAATTGTCAAAGATTTTTTTATTCTAGCTGTTGTCATATAAAATTGTTATTTTTGCGTATAATAGTAGTAATTTTCGTAAAACTTCACGGTGATTATATTGTTAATATATTGATTACTTACTATAAGCGCTTTCTCACCTCAAAAACATATTTGTGTGATGTTAATGATGTATACTTGATGTTTCTACATCACTTGTCGCTCCTGAACTCTGGATCGTTAAAGCCATCGTCAAGTAATAATCGTAGTTCGAATACAGAAATGGGAACAGGAAAATGTGTTCTAAAACGTTCTGAAATATATTTAAAATACGTATACTCTTGATACGTAGGCTAACATTACGATAAATTTAAAAATAAAATTGAACAACACATGATATTACTCCAATTTATATATGTATTTATTGTGAAAAATATTAATATTAAATTGATGTTATTTTGGTAAATTCAAATATCAATGTAGAACTTACATATGTATTTATATATACATATATATAGAAGCGGGTATCCGAATAAGGTCAGTTACATAAACGCCGTCCAATCAATAATCTGGCTCGGACTATCGTATATAAAAATCGTGATTTAAGAACTTAGGGCTTATCTATCATGGCCTGAGATCGATATTCAGCTACTGTATTCACTTACCTAATAAGGCTGTGTATGCATGAAGCGGTTTTATAACGTTTATTTGAGCGGATCAAATTTTCATATTGAATAATGTATTATGCTCGTTTGTCTAAAAAGAGTCGCGGCGTTTCAATAGTACCCTTATCTAGAGTTAGCATCGTTAAACTTAACACAAAGTCCCAGTTTTTCATTCACCTAGGGTATATAAATTTAATTCTGCAACGTACAATGATTTATGCACCAAAAACTGGAAATCGCGCATGTTTAGTCTTGCGACGCAAACTTGTAATAAGAAATTACCAAGCATAACTGCTACTGAATATCAAGTTAGGACAAATCCTATTACGATTTTTGACGCATATTCTCTTATAAGTTTATATAATATTAATTATTTTATGTTAAATGCTAATTAAAATGTAATTGTTACAGGACACACGGACACACGTGGTCGTCGAACTTTACGAAACGGAAAAATCTTATGTGGAGGCGCTCGAAAACTTAGTTAAGGTAAAAGATCTTGATTGATTTCAAACGTATCTTCTCTAAATCAATATTATGCCATTAAAAATAGATATTTAATGATGTCAAATTAAGACAATACTATCTACTACTAATTCGTTTGATAAATAAGAAAATTAATCAGTTATTAAATTTATCTTAAATGTATGACAACGAAATATCTATTGTTATTTATCATATTTTGGTCAAAGCCCAAATTCAATTAACATCATCAATATATTCGATATTATCTAGATAGCTGACCGTTTTCAATTTCGGCCTGTATTGTGCAATATCTCTTTGTTGTTCCCGGGATGCGCTGAAGTGCCCTTCATATAATTGCGTTTTAACTACAACAGTTCTGCGCATGTCCAGGAAGCTTCTGGAATTACAAATAAATTGATTATTTTGTGCATGCTCTAGAATAGTACGGAATGAAATCGCTTCTGATGACGTTTATTTCATCCTCCGGATTTGTATTTAATTTATATGAGATCTTATTTCATCTTAAAAAGATAATTCATTATAATGAGATGTTCAATTCAAAGAAATAGATATTGAAATTAAATTGTAAGCTGAAATTCTGAAAAGATTTTTTTATCGAATGTATACAAAGGCTAAAACTAAAAATGTGCTTAGAAATTATAAGTTTCGACGTGTTAGGACAGAATATTATTAGATTTAGGAATATTTATTAAATATTTGTTTTAAATTTAGTTTGTTTAGTTTAAACCTCGTAAAATATAATCTAACCATATATTCCTTATAACCGATGCAGAAATTTTTAAACATGTAGTGTCAAAGACAGAAGAGCCTCGTTAGTTTGAAGAATTCACACTGACTTGATCTTTTACAGTTCACGCTGAGGAAATGTACTTCCTACGAAATGCAGATTTATGTATAATATTTTCATAAAATGAATTCTCATTACTTTTATAAATTTGAAATCATACTAGTATTATTAATAGCAAACTTAATGATAATGTATGTATGTATATTTTATACATTTTCATGCAAAACTTCAAAGATTCTTTTAATGGAACTTCATAAAAATATAGCTTAGAGACGAAATTTCTCAGCGCTCAATTGATTTACCTTGCGGGATTCGGGTCCATCGTTGCAGGGAGACAAACTTCAACAGTGTCTGTGACTTATGACCCAGGTGTAGTTTTAAGGTGCCCCTATCTAACCCGCGTTAAACGCTCACCTCCACCGTCAAAGCTCCTCCCTCTACCTAACTAAATTTGAACCTACTAGGGCTGTCTTTGAAGTACGTTCTAAGAATGAATTGATGTTACATACGTAGTTCTGGACAGGAACAAATCTTCTAGTTGGATGTAGATAAATATATCTATTGTACCTCTAGCTCACATTTCTACCGCCTTAAAATTTATGATGAACTAAAGAACCTATTCTTAGTGTAGATTTCTTTTATCAGAATAATACGAATCCCGAAATTTCTTACAGTACCTTCGGGACCAAAGGATAATATTTGTTTTGTCTATAATATCTCGTGACGGTTTGTTAATATATCTATTATTCTAACACTCTTTATACATTTCTCTTCAAACGCTATTCCGATTTTAAATATATAATAATGTGAATTGTTACTTTGATCCAGTTGGTAGTAAGGCTTATTGTATTATGTCATCATTAAGCCTCCGCTTTTAATGCAACAGTGCTCTTCATCCCATTAATACTTAAATGTTATTTATAATTTTGTATAGGATACTTATCAAAAATACTTCAGAAGCATGAAATTTTTACAATATACTAATAATAATTATTAGTAAAAATATAATATTTATATAAACTTAATTTATAATTTTGTTCTACGTCTTATGTTATTTTTGTTTGGTTTTAAAACGTTTAAATCTTAATATATCTCGCTAACTCCTACGTATTCCTACATATTTCTACATCACAATCACAAATTCATTTACTATTTCATGTTCTACATTAATTGAGTCTAATATCAAATGTAAGTATGAGACACTAAAGTATATATATTTATTTGTCTTGTCTTTCACTTTTAAATATATATGATAACGTGTTTCGCTTTTACATCCATGTATATTAAGATTATAATTGCTTGGTGATTTGAGACATTTTATGCTAAGTATGGCCTAACACCGGCTTATTTACTCTCTAAGTACCCCTTACATGAGATAAATATTATATTATGATTGCTCGTTGTATCACGGAAATGTAATTGGTAAGAAGTTATTATTGTCATAACATTTTACTTGAAATCTGTTGAAGAAATCGTCATACGTATATGGAATATTTAGATAGCAAATATAGATATGTATGTTTGTTTAAACATATTATTATGGAGTTTGTCTCAATTAAGATATATGGTTTTTTATGTTAATAATAAGTGTGAAAATATGTACTTTTTAATAAATACTTTTTGCTACTTTATAATTATGATTGGACATCGTTATTTAAGAACAGTTGTTTCTTTATTTTCACGTCACTACATATGGAGAAAGCGTAATACAAATAATAATATCTCTTATAAACATTATCCTTACATCTAGCAAATATAAAGCTAATCTATAAAAACCTGCTATTTCCTGCCAAACATAATTTAAATTAATATACAAATAATACAAGATCACTGAATACATTTAATAATTTTACATCAATTAAAAACAACTTCCTTCTTCAATCATAAAATCCCACGCATTCCATTATATCAATTAACAGGTGACCGAGCATCATCACATTTTAAACTCTCATACAAAGTGGTTATGTTTTATATTTGAATGAAAATATATCCACACGTAAATACACTTTAGATGCCACACTCTTGAATTATAAGGGCACCATAAAATTATAAGTCAGTCACTCATCCGTACCAAATTAACTGTGGGATGACAAATTCATTATATTTACGCATTCATCGAAATATCAAAGTTGACAAGGTTTTCATAAATTTACCTCGGTTCATGGACTAATTTTAAGAATATATTTATTGTTGGTGCCTCTTATGTATATTTGTAGAGTTATATCTTTTTAAGAAGCTACGCTTTTGTGGTAATTCGAACGGAACAGCGAAAAGTCTTAACCCAATTTGGAGGAAAGGCTTTCATGAAAATATGTAATTCCCGTATACGGGTGAGGAAAAACAGCCTCATAGAAGTACATATGATAGCAGCTGAAAATTTATATAAACATGAAATGTTAAATAATATGTATAGATGAACTTCTAAAAATTTTCCTCGACGTCAAATATAAACTAGAAAGTAATCAACGAATTGCAGAGAATCTCGGAAGGAACTTTAAAGTGAAGTTTGAAATGCAATTCCGAGCTTTCGCGCAATAATACCACTCAACATTTCTGTAGCAACGTAACATAAATTTAATGACTTCTCTCTAATACTTCAAGAACGAGCACAGAATTTTTTTAAGTACTGTTTACAATCAAATATATGTTGTTTTGTATTACACTTTCTTCTAAATTTGTAGCTGATATGTATGATGAAAGCAAAGGTTATAAAGTATACAGTATTTATGAGGCACTTGCTTTGGATTCGAAATTGAGTCTCTTTTTTTGAAATAAAGTTATGTTTTCTACACCTGGAAAAATGTTAATGTTAATATTAATTGATTTTAAACTTAAATTATTAAAACCGTTTTTTTCTTCTAGAAATACCTCCAACCGCTTAAAAGTCCAGAGAACGCTGGACTCTTAGATGCGTACTTGGTGGATGAGATATTCTACCAAGTACCGGCTATCCTAAACGTTCACCAAGTGTTCCTAGAACAACTGAGGCTAAGACTCGAGCAATGGGACCTCCAGCAAAAAGTTGGGGACGTGTTCCTCGAAGTGGTAAGAAAAATAACATTTCAAACTTTATGGTAGACTTTTTTTGTAAATTTTTGTCATTTTTAATTAATTTATTTCAGTTTACAAAACCCACCGTAATGGACACCTACATGTCCTTTATCAATAACCTGAAAAAGGCAAAGGAAACGATAAAATCCGCAGCGGCATCGCGACCCGCTTTTGCAAAGTTTTTGGAAGCGCGCGCAAGAGATCACAAGGGAAAGTTGTCTTTAGACAATCTCTTAATAAAGCCCGTACAGAAGTTTCCAAGCTATAAACTTTTGATTCAAAGATTGATCAAACATACAGGTATCTTAATAATATATATTCTTTGCATGAATTAAAACGTTGTGTTTGGTTTATCTGAAGTATTATTTACATACTTGAATTAACAATGTATTTGACTGTTCGTAATATTTCAACTAAAGTTAGTTTTTGGGCATCAAGAGCGACGTAAAAGTTTTATAAAGTTGAGAGTAGATTATAAAACATAACTTACTAACAATCATTCATCTCGTCTTCCATCAAAGACGATTAAAAATTAATTAAAATTAAATATAACTAATCGTAATCGAATGATAAATATTCATTATATATCAACAGAGCAGTCGCATCCAGACCACAAACTATTGTTGGAAGCTCAGAGGGAGATTCACGATCTCTTGGAACTAATAAACTGTACCGAAAGAGAGAGTCTCGAACAAGAACAGCAGCAACAGACTTTGAGAGAATTAGAACAATTGATAGAAGGTCTATCAAATCTAGTATCGGCTGATAGAACATTCATTAGACACGAGATGGTTACTATGCCATCAGCGCAAGGAGCTGTTAAAGATCGAGCATTATTCCTCTTTAATGACACCCTTTTGATAACAAGCGTCAAGAAAAGGACTGGTACTATAAAGAAACCGATTCCGTAAGTTCTGTATCTAACTTCTGAAATATTAGCTGTTTATTTGTTAATTTTATCACGATTTTTCTTCTAGAACATACCAATGCAGTATCGCGAGTCAAATGGAAGGGAACAAATATAAGCTATTAATGAGGATATCTCTCGGAGATTTGGAAATTGTGAAAGGTCTATAATAATATACAAAATATATAAAATTATATATGCCAATGAACTTTAAACTCATCTATTTATTTCAGGAAAAGATGAAAACATGAGACGTTTAATTCATGAAGTTGAAACGCTTACAGAAGATGTCAATACGTTGACTCTTATATCAGAACAAGTGGCTGCTCTACACACGCAGCATCTTCCATTAGAAGAACTCGTCAGAGAAATGCTACAATCAGCTAACAGACAGCTATCTGAAAGACAGAATTTCGATAATCAGCTATGCTGCATGGAACTAACTTTGAATACTTCGTAAGTATTAAACATACCAAGAAGATTTCATCCATTTTTAAATTTAAAAAAATCTTGTTGCAGTAACTTCCAAGGCTTATAGGCATTTTGTGCGTTAACAAATTTTATTTCTTCACTGCTATTTCACATCTCATAGTTATTTAGAAAGAGCACCAAAATTTGCAGCATTTGTTTCTATGAATTTCAGAAACGTTCCAGAGAATCTGACCGTCATATTTGCGAATTCTGAAAAGAGGAGCAATTGGGAGGAACTCATAAACGAGACGAAGCAGAAGCTGTGTAAGTTATTAACCGATATTGAAAACAATGAGAAGTTAGTGGTGGCCTAGTGGTTAAAGGGCCCGGCTCTTGTTGCCGAGGGCGCGGGTTCGATCCTGGCCCGGGCAAGTACCAATGTGATTTTTCCGAGTCATTTGTACTTTCTAAGAGTATTTAGACACCACTGATTAATGCTGATTCCCAAAAAAAGGTTGATGTCGTATAAACAAATAGCCAAAAACTATTCACAACATGTATAGGCAGACCCTGGCTATAGCTGGGAAATTGCCAGGAAGAAGAAGAATATTAAAACAATAGTATAATGGTCCTAATAATGATCTTTTGGTCTATACTAGATATGTACGGCCCAGAGCGGCCGGCGCCTGAGTTTCTCTCCCCTGTTCCTATAAGGAAGACGAGAGCCGGTTTACAGTTCACATGCGCTGCTCCAACATTACCCCCCAAAGGACAACCACCTGATGTTTGGGTGAGAATTATTAATTATATATTTAAAAAAAAATATTTACCGTATATGATATGAAAGTCAAGTGGCCTAGTGGTTAAAAGGCCCGTCTCTCGTTGCCGAGGGCGCAGGTTCGATCCTGGCAACTACGAATGTGATTTTTCCGAGTCGTATATACTTTCTAAGAGAATTAAGACATCACTGACAGACGGTGAAGGAAAACATCGTGAGGAAACCTGGACTTATAATTTCACAATTATAAGTTTGAAATCACCAACCCGTCTTGAGCTAGCGTGGTGATTAATGCTCGAACCTTCTCCAGGAGAGAAAGAAGCCTTTGCTCAGCAGTGGGCTCCGATAAGCTAAAAAATATATATATTATTATGCATTCAACTGATAATTTTATTATTTAGATTCTTTCCAGTAACAATTCCACGACATTTTCAGCCTTATTTTTTTTAAATATATATTACTTTATGCAAAGAGCTTTAAATACATATAAATAAATAATGCTACTTCTAAAATGATAACAATTTAAGATGTCACTAATCAAATTCTTTACCTCAATAAGTTAATAATATTGTTAACTTCAATTTCCACACGCTAATAATCGAGTGTTTTTCTTGAATCTCATCTATTTTGATGTCAAAACGTCAACAAAAGCGGTTCAGCTCTACTTAAGGTTATTTTAATTAACAAATAAATCGTATTCTTCAGGTTTGCAACAGCGATGGGTATGTCGGTCAAGTGTGTGTGTTGACTTTGAATCCCAAGCCACAAGTGACTTCGTGTAATGGCGTTTGTAACGCTAGGATCGTTTGCGTTGCTTGCGTGCCGCCCGCACCGGCGCTCGCTCGTCAACAGACATTAGATATACCGTAAGTAAACACACATTTACAAACTACTAGCTGCGCCCCGCGGTGTTACGTGATTTCCGGGATGTAAAATAGCCTATGTTTTATTCCTGGACGTCAGCTTCATGTATACAGGATTTTATCAAAATCGGTTCAGCCGTTTGAACGTGAAAAAGTAACAAACACACACACACACAAACTTTCGCAATTATAATATAAGTAGGATTATTACATTACAATACTATATGGCACAATGTTACAATGCTATATGTCAAAGTTTTTAGGTTATATCCTGATGTTGTCAATAAATTTTTCATAACATATATTTTATTTAAACAAATAAGATGAAAATTTCATCAATATTAAAAATATGTCACGAAATTTCTTAGCATTCAAAGATTCACCGCGCGGGTGCCGGGTCCATCATGAAAAAATGAATTGGTATTAGTTCTGAACAGTTTCAAGTATTTCAGTAGGTTGTAGAGACATTTAGAAATCATACCTCTCGAACGAACCTATTCGACGAATTTATTCCTAATGAGTTCCTATTTATTCGACGAACCTATTCCTAATGAGTTCTTTAGTGAGTTCGTAATACTTACTGACCTTGATGGCAAGTTTGGGATAATTGTTTCCCAAACCGTAAGCTTTATTGATACAACGCGCTTTAAAATTCGCGAATACATAATGCCTATAGTCTCTAGTCTGGTCTGGCGACCTCTACACAAATATACTTTGGGATTTTGTATTATTTCTCATACGTATTACTATTTTGTTGTTTTATATATTACAGGAGTACCAGCTCGTTGAATTGTTCCGGTAATAAGCCTGGTATAAGTATTTCTGATCCCGATGAAAGCTGCAAGAATATACGTCTTGACAGGTATTTAACATTATACTATCTATTTTATTAGTAGTTCTTGTAATTATTCATTATTTTTTTATGCCTAGATATTTTTAGTAGAACTAACTTAAAAAATAATTTATAACGTCTTAATCTATTCAATAATTGAATAGATTAAGCTCATATGAACTACATGTTCTATTTGTCGACAAAATGTTACACAATACTTAAACTTTCACTCATACTTAAAGAAACAATTCCTTTTACATTATCATCAAATCATTTAATTTTGATTATTCTTTTTACCTTTAATCCTCTAAGGATAGTATTTTTTTTTGTTATTTTTTATTGCAGCTTGAGCCATACGGATATGGATTGGAATATAGTCTTTTTGGTTGTTATTTTTGTTTATTTATCATATATATACATATCAATAAACAGCTCATCATCTAGTGAAGACGAGGATGACGGATCATCTACCAGCGAGAATCAAGACGCGCAGTCTGAACGGAGTCAAGATTCGGTTCGGTTACACGGTGTGACTGCGGCCGGGCGGGCGACACTCACACCGAATCATAGCAAGAGTTTGAGCACGCCTCACACCGGACAGAACATACCGATACACCCGGTCATGAAATCTAGCTCAAACCCCGCCGTTGATAAACAAGCTATGGGAATCACATCTGGTAATATCTTCTTCTTCTACCTAGCAATGTCCCAGCTTTTAGCCAGGGTCTGCCTATATATCTGGTAACATATCTAATATCTACACTTTCGAAAGAATTCATTTAAATGAAACTAATATTTTCGGATTACTACATACATTTTGAAATTCAAATTCTCATCTCGTCTGCCCGTTACGAGTATTACGGTTGCTGCAAAGTAAGCGAATCATCGAAAGTATGTAATTAAGAATAACACTGATCAACAAAATTTTGTAACAATAAAGGCATTTGGTAATTTTAAATTATCTACATATCCTTATTTGATTACCATACTTGTTGTGATTCCATCAGGTCTAGTTTTCGTGTTACAGACAAAATCAAAAAAGTTAATGTTCCCTTTGAAAGACTTTGTTTATTTGAAGAATGTAATGTTTTGTTTTATTAGTGATTCTTAAATAATGTAAAAAGAATAAACGCGTAGTAATCCGAAAATATCAGTTTCATTTATTATGAATCTATAACTACCCTTAATATAAATAGTATTCACATTGTATGTATCTACCCTCAAACTTGCTTCCTTTTATAATATTCTTATTAATTCTACCTTTTTCTGTTTTCCTTTTAATATATGTACATTAATATAATATTTCTTCCTTCACGTGCATCTTAGTTCCTGGACGCATTATTGGTATGAACCTTTCTCTTCTGTTTTGTTAAATATTAAGTAGTAACATATATTTGCATAATAAACTTAATTGTTACATTAAAAGTACATATTTCTTTGAAGTAACCTCTTCATGTATGACAAAAATTTGTGACCTTACTTCAAAGTTATCGATTTATCTTTTAGCAGATATGATATTATTTAAACCCTTATTCTATAAGACCTTCCCTTATTAGGAATGTCTCTGTAGTGTGATACAGTTGAACAAATTGCTTACTTTATATGACACCTAAGTATAATAATTCTAATATATATGTTTATATTTATATCCTACCTACATATACACATATGTGTCTTCAGAAAAAAAGGTGTATAGGCTAATACTGAGATAGTTCATTCATCATCTACGACTTAATTTCCACTTTCCAACGACTAAAATGATTGTCTAGTCGAAAAAACAACATACACAAAAGTTGAACTTTATCAACATAAAATATTTCCACGTAATAAAAAACTTACTAACAAAATCAAAAACAAATATAAATATGCCTTCTTATAAATATTCCTGAGATATCTTTATATATATAAAAATTTCGTGTCACGTGTTTGTCCGCGATGGACTCCTAAACTACTAAACCGATTTTAAATTTGATTTGCAGTCCGTGTGCATTTTGGTCCAACTTGAAAGATAGGATAGCTTATATCTCAATTATATATTGACTGAGTTAAGTAAGTATTCAATAGATGGCGCTATGTTAAAAATACAAACGTCATATAAGGTATAACCTTAATTTGTTTATAAAAAAAACGTAACAAATATTTCTTGATTATAGGGCGATACGAAGTTCGCCGGGTCATCTAGTATAATATAATACTAAACATTATTATATTATCATACAGGTACACTATCTTCGCCAGCCAGTCGCCAATCATCAGAAGACAACGCGACCAATCAGCCAACCATGTGGCTTGGTACCGAAGACGGATTCATTCACGTGTACAACTGTATGGACAACATACGTATTAAGAAGAACAAGATTAAACTACAGCATAGCGCCTCTGTTATATCCATCAAGTAAATATATTTAGAACTATATTTTTAGGATATAATACCTTTTTGATTACTTACCAGTAAGTCAGTAGTCGCCTAATGATTAAAAGGGTCTGCCTCTAGACATTTAGACATCACTGACATACGGTGAAGGAAAACATCGTGAGGAAACCTGGACTTATAATTTCACAATTATAAGTTTGAAATCACCAACCCGTCTTGAGCAAGCGTGGTGATTAATGCTCGAATCTTCTCCATGTGAGAAAGAGACCTTTGCTCAGCAGTGGGCTCTGATAGGCTGATGACCAGTAAGAATGTTAACGATATCTCGTCTGCCCGTGATCACGGTTGCTGTAAAGTAGCCGAAATTTCGGGAGCATGTAGTTTTTAACAAAAATAAAATCTCGTAGTACATGCAAAAATATTAGTTTCATTTAAGTGTTAACGAGTAAATAGGTAATTTTTCTATTATATATTTTTCTTCTAAAACTATCGGTTTATTATCTCTCTTATATCTGATTCAAACAAAACAAATCACATAAATATAGTTTTATTTCACTATGTAATAATTTTGCTAATTTTAGATATTTATAAGCGTTTATAATAAAATATTTTTATAATTATATTCCTGTGTTATATTTCAGATACGTGGAGGGTCAAGTGTTCGTGTCTCTTGGTAACGGTGAATTGGTCGTGTATAATAGAGATATTGGTGAGTTATTCATATGTATATGATAGAGGAAAGTAAATTCATGTGTAGGACCATATATCATACTCCATAGACAATGTATATGTATACCATAGAGCTTATTATTAAAAATATATCTTAGAAATAAAGAATTTTTGAAAATCATTTCATAAATAACATACAAAACATGGTTTCACAAGTTTTTCAACTTTCAAAAGGTTAACTAAAAATTCGCAACGTATTTAAGTCACGTTACAATAACATTCGATACAAACAATTGTAAAAAGATATTATACACTGTAAAATATTTCGTATTTGCCAGCAGATGCATGGATACAATAAGCCTAATATATTTCCATTAAAACTCAATATTATGTATTTTATGATTTTATGAAATATTTACAATCTGAACACTTAAAACTATACTACGTTATTTAATTCAAATTTCGCTATCATTTCGAGATAATACAACCAAGTCCTAATTTATCATAATTTCTCTATTTTATACGATGTTTGTTTATTTCTATCAGATGGTACATGGTCAGAGCGTGCTACACTCGTGGTAGGTGGTAGTTCTAATCCAATATCTGCCATGTTGGTAGTCGCTACACGTCTCTGGTGTTCAACACAGTCCTACGTTAAAGTCATCAATCCGCATACACTGCAGGTAAGTTAAAAACAAATATATATACTAATATTTAACTATATACATTCTTACTAAAAGCTATAACCTTTTTAGGAGCAAGAACATTAATATAATTAAAAGAAATGAGTTTTCTTATCTATTATATTATCATTATTCACATTAACAATAAACTATATGTAACCTTTTAAATATATTAACTTACACGTACATATATCCTTTGTACGATGATTTCTTAGAAAACGAGATGTCTGATCTCGTCTGCCGGTGATCACGGTTGCTAAAAAGTACATAGTTAGTTTTGTACAAAAATAAACCGCATAGTATATCAAAAAAAAAATATTAGTTTCATTTATACGAATAAATTTCGCGAAAATCTTAGATCTCATTATTCTTCTTCCTGGCAATTTCCCAGCTTTAGCCAGGGTCTGCCTAATCTCATTATTTATAATTGCTCCATATAATAGTCAATTTCCAAGGTGATGGTATATATTCTAGGAGGACGGTTCATTTCAAGTGACCTCAGACAGTCGTCAGATAAGTCACATGGCTGTCTCCGGTAACACTATATGGCTGGTGCTCAACCCTACGCATAAACAGTCGCAGGTTCGAATCCTGCTTGTCACTATTTTTTTTCTGTACTGAATATCGCTTATGTGAAGATATAGTTTTTATTATTTTAATTTCAGTAGTATTGGCCCTGTGACGCTTTAGGAAATAAAAGGCTTACTACATTTCAAAGAAAAAATTATAAATATTACATACACTGACATCTATTGGCAATATGATCAAACAAATTTCTTTGACTGTTTAGGTCATAAAATAATATTGTCTTAACGAAATGTAGCAATCCTATTCTAAAACCATAAAAGCTGATATGAAAATGCATCCCTATTATTAGTAGAATTTATTTTGCAGTGTTATCATTGTTATCTATTATAATTCCCATATATTACGAAGATTCTATAATAATTTGGTATATTTAGGAGGACGATACATTCCACGTGACTACAGACACTCGTCCTATCAGTCATATGGCGGTGTCTGGTACATCTTTATGGATGGCTTTGAATACAACTCCACAACTTCGTTGCTACCAAACAAATACAAAGGAACTGCTCGCTGAATTAAGCATCACAGCGCCGGTCACTAAAATGCTGCATGGTGAGTTAAGTTCATTGCTATACCATTGAATTCATGATCATTACGAATTTGTTCAGGTAATCATGGATTTTGGGTGAGTTCTAAGTTAATTTTATCATATATTTTTTTTAAACAAAACATTTAAAATCTACTTACTATTGTCCTAATAATGTAATAACTTTTCTGGCCGCAAAATGGTAGGAGGTATGTATAGCAATTGCAAAATTATTACTTCCTTCTGCATTACAATACCAAAGAGGTTTTTGCTTTATTCTTTCATAATATATAGACAATATATTTAGTATTTTTTCATAATTAATGTTTATATGATGACTGATTCGTTTATATTCAGGTTGCGATGACATTATTCGCCAACATAAGGCAGCATGTCTGCGTGTGACTGCTTTATTGGCTCATCGTGATACACTATGGGTGGGCACGTCAGCGGGCGTGTTGCTCACGGCTCCGCTGCACAACTCGCCTAATACACGAACCGGACAGTTCACTGTGCCACAACTCACTGGTATGTATTGGGATCAGGTTTAATTAGGATTAAATAAGGGTAAGATTTCTTTAACTTGATATATATCTATTAGTACGAAAAGCTAACCGTTTTACAATTTCACAAATCAGTTCTGAGTGATGCACAATGTTGCCAGTATACAAATATTATCTTAATACTACATACTTAAAATAATAAAATTTATAATCTAATAGTATGTACTAGCTTTATTTTAATAAAACACGTCATATTGAACCGATACTAGAATTATGTAATATTGAACTTATATGTACTTGTAAATTGGTGGGGAGATATGTAGCTTAGAACCAGACTGATATATGATATTTAATTCTGTTCGATCGAAAATGAAAAAAATCCAATATCTGGTTATTTATGGCCTCTAGGGAGGAATAGAGTTCGACCGGTCTGCTATATAAGCCATAGTTTAAAAAACAATCAAACTTGACAATTGACACAATCCTAATATAATATTGGTATTTATCGAAACATACCAACTGATATATTATACGTGTATATAACTTATATATTATAAGTCTCAGTATAATATGTCTAAGATGGGTCCTCAACAAACTTGGTTATTGAAGACATTACTTTGCACAAATAAGACATTCTCATAATTTTCTTAGTCGTATTTTCTATCTTTTATCCTTCTCATTTTCTTTTTAATCTGTCGTTTATGATATACAGACTAATTGTTTCTGTATATTTCAGAAAATTTAATTTTCTTTTGTCTTTAACTTCAATATGTGGTATTGCACTATTTTACATTCCACTTTATATTTCTTAATTTTCCACAGGCGTGACTTACGGTCACACTGGTCATGTCAGATTTTTGACAATCGTCGAGAACCCAGTTCCGCATAAACCAACAACGAAACCAAGCACTAGCTTGAAGACTAAAGCTCTGAGTCGACGATCGACTAACGCTGAGAAATTACAGAAACAGGCAGAAAACAGCCAGAATAATAAGGAGACTTTGGTTATATCTGGTGGGGATGGCTATGAAGATTTTAGAACTTCTTCTATGTCTGAAGACGCGGGGCGAGAAGATTCCACCAATCATTTATTGTTTTGGAGGGTATGAACGAATTTTCCGGCCTACAGGGACGTATCAACACCCGGATATAATTTCGGGAGAAGATTGACTAATACGTTACACAAATGGTTTAAAAAATGCATGTGATAACATGATGTGACTATACATAGTTATTGTTGAGCCTAATTTATCACAATTTTTTTTATTTTGTTAATCGTTCCAGCTTTTTAAAAAACTGAAATGTTACGGATAAGTTTTTTTTACGATATTTGAAATTGATTTGCGCGTTTGTGCGTAGTAAATAGTTCTGTATTGAGATTACTATCGATAAGTTTAGGACATTAAATGTCGAAATATATCAACAAAGATTATTATGTATCGAAATGCAATGTTGCGAGTGCAGTATTATTAAAATTATCATTAGCGAGACCGACTCGGCTCCTGAGATATATCAAAAATACCTGTTTTAGATGGATTTACGTGTACCTATCTAATCATATCAATATAAAATGTTAAATGTCCATAATTATTTTGTTATTTACAAATGAAATCTTTATAAAAAAAAAATATTTAAATATATAAATATATATCAGTGTATACCTTATCGAATGAAAAAAAAAATGAATGTTTAAATATATGTCCATAGAATTCTATCGCCAAGTATGTTACCGATGTGTTTTTGAAATAACAATATTATTCCTTAATGAAATTGGCTTTACGGTAGTCGCTGTTAGCTATAGACAAATTTTAATCTCATGTTTGACAGTCCGTTGTCGATATATAAAAAAAATAAATAGATGTTCTCATTAGATCTCTTAATATTCTTAAATGGAACTATATGTACTTTATCTAATGTACCCGATATCAATGTACCGCTTTACAGAATCTTGAATTGCTCAAATGTTTGTATCCTCAGGATAAAATGTCAATAATAATCAGAGCAAGATGTATTTAGTGTAAACGTTGTAGATATCTGTGACGAAATTCTGCAGAAAATGAAATAAAGTCGCACTTTAATGAATTACATGTATATTTTATTTTATTGATAATTTAATTCCCTTCAAAAATAAATATAATCATTTAACATTCATTTACATACAAATATTTTACTCAGAAAGTATTGTGATTGAATTGTAATGGGGAATATATTTTTTTATAACAATTAATGACTTAAAAAAAAATATGAAATGAATTTCATAGCATGGGGTATATTATTTATTGCAGCATAGTATCAACAAGAATAATATTTAGCTTTTTTTTCTCCTACAATTTAAACATTTAATGCTTTATTCATTAATATAACACCACATATTTTCAGCCGTTTCTTTTGAATTATCTAGTTACAAGTAAGACTTATCTGATTTATTAATTCTTCTACGGAATTCAAATCCATATAAGAGTCGAATTTCTTTCCTCTACTAACAAAGTATGGGTCATTTTGCAATTGCAAAGCTAATTTCTTCAACGTAGTTCTTCTATCCCTTTCACTATCACTGGCTTGCCTTTTGACTTTGTTCGCCTTAATTAATTCTATCGTAGCACAAATGAGATCCTTTGCTTTGAGCATTTTGTTTCGAAATGCTGAAGAATTCTCGAAGTGTGACGTTTTATCTTTTTTACCTCTCGCTATATAATAAGGATCGTTGCGAACAGATTTTACAATATCTTCCAAAGCTCCACGACGTCCTCTTGCTTTGTCCAATTGTAGACAGTTATATTTCTTTCCTCTAGTAATGAAAAAAGGATCGTCTTCCTCAGACGAACGACCGCTTCGCTCAATCAATATGTAATGCGGTTCTTCAGCATAAATCCTATCATCGTGAACTGTGTTCTGTCCAAACGGCTTCGATCTCAGTTCATTATTTGGTTTTAAATTTGGTATGTCATGAAAGGATTCTACTGGATTCTTTGTTGGTCCATTTAGTAAAGATTTTATTTTGCTATTCCTATCTCTGTTAAGCTTGTCAATATTTCTTTCGATCTCACTGATAGCTTTAATAACCGATTCCTTAACATCTAATTTCCTTCGACCGCGATTTCCCCAAAAAGGTTCGGTTTCCTCGTTAAGAAGAGCCAGACTACGTATTCTACTCTTACCGGTAGCATCAAAATCTTGGTTTAGAGTTTCCCGTCTTCCACGATTTCCCCAAAAAGGTTCAATATCGTCAGGTTTAAATGTGGAATAATAATTTTCTCGCCTACCTCGATTACCCCAAAAAGGAGCTTCTTCTTGTCTACGTCCCCTGGTACCCCAAAAAGGTTCGTCATCTTGTCTACGGCCTCTGTTTGCCCAAAACAAATCGTTCTCGTCTTCATTCGACTCTTCAGATGACCTTCGACCTCTATTTCCCCAAAATGGAGCATCTATTTCGTCGTGTCTCTGTTTCATAAGATATGCAGGCAGTTTATGAACGTTTTTAGTTTTCCCGAAGAAATTGTAGTAAATATGTGTAGTCAATGGAAGTTCAGCGAAATTTTCTTCGGATTCACTATCTCGCCTTCCTCGTGTGCCCCAAAATGGTGTTTCCTTATTTAACAACCTTTTCCCAGATTCGTCATGATTATTTTCATACCATTCCACTTTATCCAGAAACTTTTCTTCATCAGGTATGTAATATTGTACGGAACCTTCGTTTAAAGATCTCTTTATTCGCTCCTGTTTTAATTTATGTTCGTAATTATTTATCTTTTTGTTAAGAAGTTTAACAGTTTTAGTTTTGTTTTCATTTATACCATAAACTATGTATTGCGAGGTTAGAAAGAAAATTAATAAAATTACTATGTTTTTTTGCATGATTTTAAATCTGAAAAGGAAAACGAATCATTTTAGTTACATAGAAGAGTCAGAATAATAATATAGAGATGACGTATAATGAATATTTTTTAACAACTTACCCGATAGATATTTGTTCTAAATAATAATCATATTAACATATTAGAAAAATAGCACTCGTAAGAACTTCTCGGTGGACAGAATTCTTATGGAAGCAGGATACAATGTTCAAGCTTTTATATATGATATCTTAGTAGGCGGGATCTCTAGGGATGTACAAGTTTTTTATTTATTTTTTTACCGCGGGGACTATGTGACCGTTATTGAATTAAAACAATGCTACTTATTACATTTGTCCGATAAGGGTAGGTTCTCACGTACAATTCTTATTATTCATTACATTTATTTCCGAATTTTCACAATCACAACTTGTATAATATTTAAAATTCATCTAAATTGCTTATTTAACATTAGTTAACAAATATATAAGCAAAATACAGTAATATAAAATGTAGTTTTTACAGCCCTCAAATAAATTTTTGAATTAAATAACAAAACCAATACGTCAACAAAAAGAATCCATGAATATATCATATGGTATTGGGACTATCTTAATACAATATTTCTGTCAAAATATGTTTATTATAACAAAATCATGAATTCTAAATCAAGGTCAGTGGAATGCTAAGCCGAAAATTCCTTCTCAATGGGAAGGATGTCTGAAATCTTAATCTAATTCATATCATAAAACTAAAAAAGACATTGTTTTCCTCGTTGAGCATATATATTTTTTTAATCCTACTAAAAATAACATTTCTTTCCATTTAAACATCTAAGCGTAGCTAAAATAACTTATCATGTAAACACTAACGATCTATACTCTATAGACTGATCATGAGTGAAATTTTAGTTACTTTACAAACTTTTCTGATGCTACATATAGGAAATTAGAGAATCGCTTTATAATAAATTGTAAAATTAAATTAAATACATATTTTAATATAAAATTAATAGCGTTATATAAAAACAATATTGTATACACGAAAACGAAAAATTTCTTCGGGGTTTGGGCTAATCATAAAAAATATTAACTACATATACTTTGGACGAGTTTAAGCCGCATTTAGTTTTTTAACAACGTCATGGTTAATAATTTTTTAAAATTATATACTGCTATAAAAATTAAGATTTCTTTACCTTAATTTATAAAGTATTATTTGATAAATAGAGAAAATTGGTTCAGTGATCTTCTAAGCCTCTAACGTTACTACATAGAAGCTAAAATTATGTATGAATAACTTAAAAACTATAATTATTTAGCTCAGTTAGTTTAAATGTTGTATATAGGTCTGGCTTTATAAAAAAGCGAGTTTTTCAACTATCCTTGTTTTTTTTTTAAATTAAAATTTTACCTTTATATTTTTATACTCATTTTAAATGTTTTTGACTTATAAGTTTCGTCTACCAAGCCAAGCCTTATGCTGTTTTAAAAAGAGCATCAGAAAGATGTGATAGAATTTTCTACTTGCTTTATTTTATTTTAAGTACTGTAATATAATTTCGTGAGAGGTTGCATTCGTCTTAACCATGTTACCCTTGTCAGAGAACGAATGTGTCCAGTTTCTTTGATTAAAGGTCGCAGGAACTGAGGGGAGGTTAGGGTGAATTGGTATGTGTTTAAATAGAGAATTATTGAAAAATATGCTATAGAATTAATTAAATGTTAAATTAAAGTAACAAATAGATCATATTAGGCTTGTTTAGGTACTCGTAAATATGAAACGTAGTTGTCACTTCCTATGGCGCTCTTTATGTCGCTAACTTGGTTTTTAAATTCATCTTGTTTTGTTGTGAAAATTGTGAAAGTCAACAGATACACAGCGGAGTTACAATACTCATAATATCATATACCTAAATCATACAGAACATGTTATAAAATACTTCTCTTTGAGAGCATTTTCTACATTGTTATTTCAGCCCAGTCTCCTCAGTATTCCTGTGTGTTTTATATAATAATAAGATTGCCTTGTTTCTATACCACGCTCCGGTAAATACTAAAAGGTATAAAAAGAAAAATCCCATCTCGGAGTGCCATTTGCTAGCAGTTCCACAGAAAGCATAAGTTAGAAATGTTTTATGTTTGAATTTATTTCAAACAGTAAGTATTCCAAACTATAGAAAAATTTCACAGAGATCTTGACTAAAAGCTAGGAAAATAAATTTTGTAGGAAACTAAATTTTGCAATACAAAATGGTTAAATATTTAAATATTAAAAGGGACTATGGTAATAAACGGAAGATACTCTCCGTAGGTATGTATTTATTTATGTCAATTTATTTCAGATATCTGAAGTTCTGTTAAAACCAAATGAACCTTTTCTACATGAAGGTTTCGTAAGAACTTAAATTAGTGTATTAGGGGCGCTTTTTCCTAAGGTAAACATGAATTGAGATTACTTCAAATGTATATTTTTAGATCATCCTACTGCCTACTAGAGAAGATGGTATATCCAAAAAAAATGGTAGTAAAATATTATTTAGATCATTTTTAGAGTAACACTTGTAAGTAAATAGTATATTTGGTGTTCATGAAATAAGTTTAAAACCTATATCTATATATGGTAAGATTGTAAAAAGGACAACAAATTAAAAGAAACTAAAAATTAAGAAACTTTACCTACTAATGATTGATATTTAACTTTTTAGCAGGATTCACCGGTAAATTAAAATGTTCTTATAAAATGCTCAAAGGGAATAGTGATTCTCATATTGGCAGACGTAGAAACGAGATTAAATTCTCCTGGAACAAAAAATTATCGAGCATTTCCTCGCTGAGACCGAGAATATATTTTAAATAATTCAATTCCCAGCCAAGGAGGCAGTATGTCATAGACGTGCAGACATTGCTATAATACTGTTTTATACTTTACTCTTGTATTCCTTCTACATAATATGTATAAAGAAGATAGAAAAGTGATTGATTTCTTCTTTAGTTTCTTTAGTCTAGTCTTTGGTAAGTTACCCAACAATAGTTACCGCTAACAATGTCTCTAATTTTTTTTGTAGGTCCCTCACCTACAAACTACATATTATGTTTCATAGATCTTCAACTGCCGATATTTATCTTGTACCTTGTATTTTAATTTACTAGGTAGTGTCAAATTATTTTAATTCCAATAATGAGCGTTGAACTTTTTAAATAAAAAATAAAACGATTTATGAGTATTTAAAATTTGAATTGAAGAATCTATCCCATCATTTTAGATGATATTAAGAAATATTAATTTCACCCTGTACCGTAAACTCTGCAGTCTCTATAAACGAAATCAACTCCAAGAGACATAAACTTCATTTAATATATAGAATTATTTTTAAACAAGTAACACATTTCATTTTTAAGGAATATTAACAAAAACATAATTATTTTTACCTCAAGTCGTATTATTCATTGTGTCTCTTTTAATGTAATTCCTGTGCCATTTCATCTAAACATGATATTAATCTGCCTATATTTTGGGGTTTTGTAATCTTCTGACCCTCAGATATCAAAGTTCGTAAATGACCATGAGCGAACACCTAAGATCTGAAGAATCAAACTAATTCGAGTTATTCTCAAACAAACAACATTTAATATCTAAATATATAAGATCACCTATCAACAAGATCAATAAACGTAGGACAACCTAGATACAAATATTTCTGGCGTCCAAAAGATATATCCCATTCGACTGATAATAACTAATAATATGAAATAAACAGTTGAAATCATAGCTGTATTTACATCTATTGGCCGTGAATAGTTCTGTGGGAAGGAAGGATATTTTTAACTCGCTTTGATATGTTGAAGTGTAGATAACATCGTGCTATATCACCAGTTTAGATATTTGAACAGACAAACTTAAAACACGAACTCATATTTTTGTATTCCCATTATTGTTTTTGAAAGAAAAGATGTAATCAAATATAGGTAGTAATGAAAGTAGAATGATTGTTATTTTTTTTAATCTTATGTTTTATGACCTATTAATATGTAATACGAATAATTCTGTCCTAATCCTACAAATCTATTCAGAGAAACTGCATTTATTGACATAGTATATCATAGCAAGTTAATTAGTAATTTGCTATAATATCAGTAGATTTCATTCGTTGTTTTAGTATGTAATAATAAATATGTTTATGAGTATGTGTTAAGACTCTCTGTGCTTCGTTAGTCTGTGGAACGATTACAGCATTGAATTGAAGATTATTTTAATAAAGCTTTGATTTTCATCATATTTCAGTAAAAACCATATTTTACTGATTGTTTGTTTTATTTGATTACTTTATTGGGGCAGTTTAAATACGACCGTGATAAAGGTTTGTAAGTACAGCGTTAAAAAGATACAAATTATATACATATAATTTGATAGGTTTCATTCTTACTTTAATGTGTATAAGTAATACCTACAAGTTGCGAATAATTTCTTATAAATCTTGTAAATATTCACTGTAGTAAGTCTATGTATATTGTATGCACACGTATCCATAAATATTTCTAAGGTATTTTACTTCTTTTTCTGGTAGCCTTTCTACTACTTACAGTTTGTTTCACAAGGATTCTTTGTATATTATATTTTATCTTACTGTGGTCACCTTAATATTTTTACGTTATTTTCATCTTTTAAAAGCGATTGTTTATCTTTTTATTAGGAAGGTGAGTAAAAAAATTATTGTGTTTTAAACATAAACTCTATAAAATCTTTCATATTAAAGATATATTTAAATATGATAAAGTTTTTTAAAATTAAAATTACATTCAGTTAATGATATAAACTTTCAATATATAAACTTGTAGGTAGAAAGTCCTATCTGAGGGAAGATTTTTATTAATTAAATTTTTTAAGTAAACTTCATACCTATCTTCTTTACTGACCCGAATTGTTTTGGATACTTTTTAATCAATAAATTGCTTCCTCATTAATGTTCATTTGGTGGATGCGAAAGTGATGAAAACTTAAGAATACAACAATATTATAAAC